ATCAACAAATACAGCTCAGATGACGACAGACGGAAAGACACAAACATGTGGCATGATTGTGTAGACATCAACTCGTGCTTTTCTTTTCCGACAAGCCAGCATGATCAACACATACAGCTGTAGGAGCTGGAGACGCAAGGATGTAGAAAGATTACGGCAGCTACAACAAAGATGTCTAATCAAAATGTGCGCTTTTTATTAGGGTGGCAAGCGAAATCAACCAATACAGCTCAGATAACGACAGACGGAAAGACACAAACATATGGCATGGGCGTGTAGACATCAACCCGTGCTATTCTTTTTCGACAAGCCAGCATGATCAACACATAGAGCTGTAGAAGCAGGAGACGCACGGATGGGGACAGATTATAGCAGCTACAACAAAGAGGTCTAATCGAAATGTGCACTTTTTAATAGGGTGGCAAGCGAAATCAACCAATACAGCTCGGATAACGACAGACGGAAAGACGGAAACACGTGGTTTGGGCGTGTACACATCAAACCGTGCTCTTCTTTTGCGACAAGCCAGCATGATCAACACTTACAGCTGTAGAAGCAAAAGACGCAAGGATGTGGAAAGATATGGGCAGTTACAACAAAGATGTCTAATCAAAATGTGCGCTTTTAATAAGCTGGCAAGCGAATCAACCAATACAACTCAGATAACGACAGACGGAAAGATGCAAACATGTGGCCTGGGCGTGTAGACATCAACCCGTGCATTTCTTTTGCGACAAGCCAGCATGATCAACACAAACAGCTGTAGGAGCAGAAGGCGCAAGGATGTAGAAAGATGTGGGCAGCTACAACAAAGATGTCTAATCAAAATTTGCACTTTTTAGTAGGGTGGCACGCGAAATCAACCAATACAGCTCCGATAACGACAGACGGAAAGACGCAAACATGTGGCATGGGCGTGTAGACATGAACCCGTGTTTTTCTTTTGCGACAAGCCAGCATGTTCAACAAAAGGAGACGCAAGGATGTGGAAAGATATCGGCAGCTACAACAAACATGTCTAATCAAAATTCGCGCTCTTTAATAGGGTGGCAAGCGAAATCAACAAATACAGCTCAGATAATGGCAGACGGAAAGATGCAAATATGAGGCATGGGCGTGTAGACATCAACCCGTGCTTTTCTTTTGCGACAATCCAGCTTGATCAGCACATACAGCTGTAGCAGCTGGAGACGCTAGGATGTGGAAAGATATCGGCAGCCACAGCAAAGATGTCTAATCAAAATGCGCGCTTTTTATTAGGGTGGCAAGCGAAATCAAGAAATACAGCTCAGATAATGGCAGACGGAAACATGCAAACATGTGGCATGGGCGTGTAGACAACAACCTGTGCTTTTCTTTTGCGACAAGCCAGCATGATCAATACATACAGCTGTATTAGCTGGAGACGCAAGGATGTTTAAAGATTATGGCAGGTAAAACAAGGATGTCTAATTAAAATGCGCGCTTTTTAATAAGGTGGCAAGCGAAATCAACCCATAGAGCTCAGATAACGACAGACGGAAAGACGCAAACATGTGGCATGGGCGTGTGGACATCAACCCGTGCATTTCTTTTGCGACAAGCCAGCATGATCAACAGATACAGCTGTAGAAGCAGGAGACGCAAGGATGTGGAAAGATATGGGCAGCTACAACAAAGATGTCTAACCAAAATGCGCGCTTTTTAATAGGGAGGCAAGCGAAATCAACCAATACAGCTCAGATAACGATAGTCGGAAAGACGGAAACATGTGGCATGGTCGCAGGGATGGGCAGTATTTCAAATACAAGTATTTGAAATACGTATTTTAAATACTTTGTGTATTTTGTATTTGTATTTAATTACAAATCGGGTAATGTATCTGATGTGTGTTTATATACAAAAAATTGGGTATTTCAAATGCAATTGTAATTAAATACAATTTTGTGGGCGAAAATACATCCCTCAAATTTATTGTCACTTTCTAGAGCAGGGACAAAACTACGTTCTGCGCCGAATGCAGTGTCTCTCATTCAAGCACAAGCGTTTAGTGACTTTGTGATTACGGTGCTAGTCCAGGCCAAGAATAGTGACGAAATCGACGTTCACAGGCAGACTGGCTAAATAAGTGCCTGTGACAACTTCCGATGCTTTCCAGCCCGATTTTCATGCATATTTTTGCCTAAAACATTCTAAATTCGTGGGTCGTCCCATGTTTCGTAACTGGTGCGAGTTGCAACAATAAAAAATTCTCTAGCTAGTGCTGCGCGTCTTGGTCGTCTCGTTTCGTTGTTGGTCTATACCAAAATGTAATCGACAAACAAAGCTGCTTGAAGCTCTGTACCTTTTTCACCTATTACGTCAAAGCTGATTACATTTTTTTGTAATTATATTTCTATTACGTTACTAGAGCTTCGCGGACTAACTCCCGAGTGTGCGATGCAAAATTAAAATGAGATACACAGAAACCCGTTGCAGGAGCCCTGAAGTCGCTGACGCATATTTTGAGGAATGTATTTGGAAAAGTATTTGGAGGAGACCAAATACATTTGGTTGTATTTGTATCTTGTACTTTAATGCTTTTTCGGAAATGTAATTAGATTTTAATTAAATATATTTTCGACGAAGTATTTTGTATTTGTAGTTTGATGAATATTTGCATGTATTTTGCTCATCCCTGCATGGGCGTGTAGACATCAACCCGTGCTTTTCTTTTGCGACAAGCCAGCATGTTCAACAAAAGGAGACGCAAGGATGTGGAAGGATATGGGCAGCTGCAACAAAGATGTCTAATCAAAATGTGCACTTTTTAATAGGGTTGCAAGCGAAATCACCCAATACAGCTCAGATAACGACAGACGGAAAGATGCAAACATGTGGCATGGGCGTGTAGACATCAACCCGCGCTTTTCTTTTGCGACAGCCCAGCATGATCAACACATACAGCTGGAGAAGCAGGAGACGCAAAGTTGTGGACAGATTATGGCTGCTACAACAAAGATGTCTAATCAAAATGTGCGCTTTTTAATAGGGGGAAAGCGAAATCAACCAATGTAGCTCAGGCAACTATAGACGAAAAGACGAAATCATGTTGCATGGGCGTGTAGATATCATCCCGCGCTTTCCTTTTGCGACAAGTCAGCATGATCTACTCATACAGCTGTAGAAGCAGGAGATGCAAGGATGTGTAAAGATTATGGCAGGTACAACAAAGATGTCTCATCAAAGTGTGCACTTTTTAATAGGGTGGCAAGCGAAATCAACCAATACAGCTCAGATAACGACAGACGGAAAGATGCAAACATGTGGTATGGGCGTGTAGACATCAACCCGCGCTTTTCTTTTGCGACAGCCCAGCATGATCAACACATACAGCTGGAGAAGCAGGAGACGCAAAGATGTGGAAAGATTATGGCTGCTACAACAAAGATGTCTAATCAAAATGTGCGCTTTTTAATAGGGGGAAAGCGAAATCAACCAATGTAGCTCAGGCAACTATAGACGAAAAGACGAAATCATGTTGCATGGGCGTGTAGATATCATCCCGCGCTTTTCTTTTGCGACAAGTCAGCATGATCTACTCATACAGCTGTAGAAGCAGGAGATGCAAGGATGTGTAAAGATTATGGCAGGTACAACAAAGATGTCTCATCAAAGTGTGCACTTTTTAATAGGGTGGCAAGCGAAATCAACCCATAAAGCTCAGATAACGACAGACGGAAAGACACAAACATGTGGCATGGGCGTGTAGACATCAACCCGTGCTTTTCTTTTGCGAAGGGCAAGCATGATCAACACATACAGCTGTAGGTGCAAGAGACTCAAGGATACGGAAAGATATGGGCAGCTACAACGAAGGTGTCTAATCAAAATGCGCGCTTTTCAATAAAGTGTCAAGCGAAATCAACCAATACAGCTCAGATAACGACAGACGGAAAGACGAAAACATTTGGCATGGGCGTGTAGTTTGTAGTATTTAAATTTTTCCATTTTAGTAATTGCCACACTAACCAGATGGCGCCACTGACCGCCACACCATATCGCTGTAGCCAGGCGGCGCTACACTTCATCCATTGGGCCGTGCGCCCAGGTGGATCTCCCCCGGGGCGGTTGGCCCCCGGGCTGTTTCCCTCTGAATAAAGTAGTGCGTGTTCTGACCTCGACCGATGTAGACGTCCGTTCCTTCCGGGTTGTTCCCGCCTCGGACCCGCCGGTGTTCGCCGCCCCACCTCGGCATGTGAGACAACCTCTTTCAGCAGGCCGCCTCGGCGCTGCTTCTTTTCCTTTCTTTTTTTAATTTATTGGGCTCTCCGAATCACAACATTTTTGGCGAAGGAGGATGGGATTTTCTTTGTTTTTCCGATTCGGAGCCCGCTGCATAAATAAGGCTTAGCCCCGGCAGCCGGTGTTTCACGTCCTTTGTCTTGCGACGCCACGTTTTCCCGCGCGAGGTGTGCCGGATTGGGCCCCGGCAACCTCTCGTTCCCGTTCAACGAAATTCTTTTCCCGTATACGTTTCGCCGGATTGGGCCCCGGCGGGCGTAAAAATTTTTTTTTTGCGCATCTCGTGGAAAATTTCTTTTTCTTTCCACTTACGTTTTCGAGCGGCGTCGCGTCGCGCCGTTAGGTTCCGTTGCGGAGCTTTCAGAGGGCTCGCGTCATATACTAAAGTCCGTCTGAGGGTAGTGGACTCGGCTCTTTATGAATACTGTCCCCCACGGGATTTTGCTCTGTCTGAGGGTAGTGGACTGGGTTCTTTGTGGATCGTGTCCCCCAAGGGATTTTGCCTTTGTCCCCGGGTGTCGAGGTCGGGACCGTACTCCGCGTAGGCGTTGCGTGTATTACAAATGTCACCATACATAGTTGTCTTTTGTTAGTATCCTAGGCGCACATGTATCTTAGGCGCACATGTAAAAATCCTTGTAAAACACTCGTCGAGTGAGGGACCCGCGGAAGCTCGTCGCCAGAGTGTTGTAAATCTCGTCGCCAGAGTGTTGTGACGCGGAGTACGAGCAACCGACCGCTCGGACGCTCAAAAACGCTGCTAAGAGCGGAGCCGCGACGAAAAGCGGCGAAACGAAGCCTCAGGGGGCGCGCGGTAGTCCCCATAAAGTCTTTAAGGCGGTAAGCCGCGAGAACAAAGGAAGTCTTGGTCCGTTGTGTCCAAGATGGCGGCGCCACAGGGTCGCGTTCCCGCCGACTTCCTCCCCACGCCCGGCACGCCGGTAATGCCGTGGCTTACGTGGAAGCGTGGCTTCCTTAACTATCTTGAGGCGACTGACGCCGACGGTTTTCCGTCAAAGCGGAAAAGGGCGATCTTGCTGTCCTTTTTGGGAGAAGAAGGGAATCGCGTCGTGGAAGCGTTTGGCCTCGCTGGCCCGGCCGTTGGCGCGGCCCAGGATGAGTTTCAGGTGTTATTGTCCGCTCTGGACACTCACTTCGCTTCCGCTCAGAACGTTGTCGTCGAACGCAGGAAGTTTGTCACAAGGGTGCAGGGCCCAGGGGAGACGGTCCTGGAGTATCTTGGGGCGCTTCGGCGCTTAGCCTCGTTTTGCGACTATGGAGAGTCGTTGGAGAGCCGCGTCGCGGAAATGTTTATCTCGGGAATCCGTAACGCGGAAGTCCAAGATCGCCTTATCAGAGAGTCCGGTGGAGCTCACGCACCGAGCCTCGAGCGTGCTGTCCAGTTAGCGCAGCAGTTCGAGCGGACGTCTCGTGATTGCGATCTCTTCCGACGCTTGTCGTTAGACGCAAGTCCGAACACGCCGCACGTGGTCGAGCGGATCCAAGATGGACGCGGTCGCGACCGAGATGCTCAACATGGCGGGCAGCCTCCCCGCCGCCGCGGATCTTCCCCCCCGAGGCGTGAGCGTCCCCTTCCTCCTCCCCCGTCTCCGTCGCAGCGAGAGCCCTCCTACTCTTCCCTTCCGAGGCGGGGGCCTCCCTCTCCTCCGTCGGGACGCGCGCGGACTTTCCCTCTCCCGCCGCGTCAAGACCGCCGGCAGTCGCGAGCTCCCTCCCGCCCGTTCTCCGGTGCGCGCCCACGTGACCCTCCCCCCGGGGCGCGTCGTGTCGTTCGCGACGACGGTTGTTTTTTCTGTGGCAGACGAAGCCAACCCCGAGATGAGTGCCCAGCATCGGGAGCCACATGCTTCTTGTGTGGCCGTGAGGGACATTTTGCAAATGTGTGTCGAAGCCGACCGAGGGGCGACCGGGATCATCGACAACTGGCCCTTCCTGCTGGCCGGCGGGTCTCTGCCCGCGGCTACTACGACCGTCGCCAAGCTGGTCCGACACGCACACCCGTGCGAGGCGTCGGCACGTTCTCGGAGGGTGACGACGACGAGATGTGGCCTGGCGTTTACACGGTGGGGTCACCCGGTGGTCGTCAGGAGCAGCGACCTGGTCCCCAGCGCCGGAGTTTCACCGCCGATGTAGAGGTGAACGGCTTCCCTCTTTCCATTCTCATCGACACCGGTGCTGAGGTCTCCCTTCTCTCGGATGCGACTTTCAACCGCATCAATCGGAGCGGCCGCATCAAGCTTTCAAAGCCGCCGCGCACTTTAGTGCACTACCTAAAGGGTTCCATTCCCGTTTTGGGATGCTTTCACGCAAACGTCGTCTTCAAGGATCGCTTCGCGACCATTCTCTTCTACGTTGTACGCAACGGCCGTTCACTACTCGGAGTGGACGCGGTACAGGACCTCAATATGATCTTGTCTGGCGTACCGCTAAAATGTTTCCACATTGACGCAGCTGCTCCCGGAACAGCCGTCCCGGGACATGTAACCGAGGCTGAGGTCCCGCAGCCATCGTCCTCAGCGGACGCAAGTTCGCCACTCCACTCTTCTGGTGCCTTTGGCACTTTGTCGTCGGCTGTCCCCGCAGCCCAAGGTCCATCGACCTCGTCCAGTGGCCGTTCCCCATCGTCGGTGAGCGATCATTCCACGCTTCCTCCCGGTTTTGAGGAGTTTGAAGAACTTTTTTCGTCCGAGTTGGGTTTGGTTGTAAACCAGACACATACAATCACGGTCCGACGTCATGTTCCGCCCGTTCAGGCGAAGCTCCGTCGTCTACCGTTCACGCTGCGCGAGTCCGTAACGGCCGAGATCCAGAAACTCGAACGTCAGGGCGTGATCGAGCGCGTCAGCGCCTCCGAGTGGGTCTCGCCCATCGTGGTCGTCAAGAAGAGAGACGGCGGTATCCGCATGTGCGTTGATCTTCGGGCTCCCAACCGCGCGGTCGTGATCGACTCATTCCCATTACCGCATATCGACGAGCTCCTGAACTCGCTCAGAGGAGCATCTTGTTTTTCAAAACTCGACCTTGCGTCGGCCTACCATCAAGTGCGACTCGACCCCAAGAGTCGAGACCTCACAGCGTTCATTACGCATGAGAATTATTTCGCTTCAAGCGAGTCTGTTTCGGCTTGGCCTCCGCGCCAGCCGCATTCCAACAAGTTATGTCGAAGATCCTCAAGGACTGCCCCGGTGTACAGTTCTACCTAGATGACGTGATCGTCTACGGATCGACACCTCAAGAGCATGACGCGCACCTGCGCGAAGTCCTCCGACGGATCAAGTCCGCCGGCATGAAGCTGAACCGAAAGGCGGTTTTCCGCGTCCCAACCTTGTCTTTTCTCGGCCATAGTCTATCCGCGGAAGGCGTAGCGCCCCTTCCGTCCAAGATAGAAGCCGTTCTGAACTTCCCCTCACCGTCCGATCCAACACAACTCAAGGCATTCCTCGGTCTAGTGGAATATTATAGCAAATTCATTCCACATTGTGCGACAGTAGTCGAACCGATGCGTCGTTTGTTGCGCAAGGGCAACTCTTTTTCTTGGACTCCTGATGTCGAGAGCGCCTTCCAAGAAGTCAAGACAGCTCTCCAGAAAGCACCCATCTTAACAATGTTTGACCCGACGTTACCGGTCATTGTGTCAACCGATGCTTCGAACTACGGCCTCGGAGCAGTTCTGCAACAACAGCACGGGCAGAAGCTCAAGACCGTGGCCTTTGCAAGCCGTTCCTTGACGGACACCGAGCGAAGGTACTCCGTTGGAGAGAAGGAGGCCCTGGCGATCCTGTGGTCGTGCGAGAAGTGGCATACCTATCTATGGGGACGACAGTTCACCATCCGCACCGACCATCGCGCACTCGTCACTCTAATGTCTACGCAGGGCACCGGAGTCCGACCGCTACGTATCAGCCGTTGGACAGCTCGTCTGTTCAACTACAACTTTATCATGGAGTACCGCAAGGGAGCCGACAACACAGTCGCAGACGCACTGTCCCGTCTGCCCGTCAAGGACACAGAAGACGGCACCAAGTTTCCTGAGGAAGTGGTTTCCATAGTCTGCGCTTCACTGACTCAGCGCGACTTCCAAGATGCAACAGCTCGTGATCCCATTCTACCGAAAGTCATGGAATACATCTCGTCAACATGGCCAGCTGAAGACAAGCTGCCTCCAGGGTTCAAGCCCTACTTCGCAGTCCGAGAACAGCTGTCGCAGGTGGACAGACTGCTGTTTAACGCCGAAAAGATCGTCGTGCCGACCAGTCTACGCGACCAAGTCATCGAGATAGCGCACGAGACGCATCAAGGGATCACGAGGACCACAGGACTTATCAAAGAACTCTACTGGTGGCCTCAAGTATCTCTCCACATCAAACAATACGTCCAACATTGCACCATATGTCAGTCTACGGACAAACCAGCAAAGACATTCCGAGCACCTTTACAGCCAGTCGATTTTCCATCTCGTCCTTGGACGAAGTTAGGTATGGACATCGTTGGTCCGTTCGAACGCGCTCCGCGCAACGAACGTTTTTTCATCACCCTTGTGGACTACCACAGCAAATGGCCAGAGGTCATGAGCGTCCACAACGTCACGACTGCGTCTGTGATAGAATTCCTGAAGACTGTCTTTGCACGAGAGGGGTCACCGACAACGGCCCCCAGTTCATCTCCAGGGAATTTACAGAGTTCCTCAAGAGTCAGGGTATTCGTCATATCAGGTCATCCCTGTACCACCCCCAAGCGAATGGGCAGGTGGAACGTTTCAACCGTGTCTTAAAGTCCACCATACAGTTGGCTGTCGTCCAGCAACGCAACCTCAGAAGCAGTCACGGAGTACTTAGGAGTGTACCGTGCCACACGTCATGCTGCGACAGGAGAGACTCCTGCGTTCTTGCTTCACGGCAGGAACCATCGCAATCGTCTTCATCTTTCGGGGCGTCCAGTCCCCGACCCACAAGTTCCAAGGTCCATAGTCCAAGAAAGGCTTCCAGAGGCAATCAAGAAATATCAAGAACGAATGAAGATATACTCAGACAGAAGACGTGCTGTCAAGCGACCTACATTCATTCCTGGATAGACCGTGAAGGTCAACAAGCCTCGTCACCGAGGAAAGTTACAGACGAAGTATGCTTCTCCTCAGAAAATCCAAGACCAACTGGGTCCAGCTACATACCGGCTGGACGATGGATCCACGTGGCATGCGTCCAAGTTGACGCATACAACTCTTCAACCTTCATCAACCAGAGCATCTTGGTTCCGGGAAGATTTGTACCCCCCGGACCCCCCTTTTTTCCCTGCAGTTGTTCTGCCTGCAGCCCGGCCGGCTCCCCAAGAGCCGCCTGTTCCTGTTCTTGGTCCGGCCAGCCCGGACACCACCAATCCAGACCCTGAAGGTCAACATCCTGACTCCGGCCTGAGTCCCGAGGCCCCTCCTCCTTTTCCTGAGGATCCTGTTCCAGCTGGGAGTCCCCTCCCCGAGGGTCTTGCAGAGGTGCAACCCGTGCCCGAGGAGAATGCTCAGTCCCCTGAGCAGAGCCTGACTCCTGGGACGTCGCCAGACAGCAGCTGGTCAGAAGCCAGCTGGTCCTCCAGCCGCACAGAAACGGCCACTGAGGGCGCAGCTTCCGGCACCTCCTTCGAAGGTGCACCAGTTCCGGTACCAGCGCCGTCCCCAGTGAGAGTGCCAGCGGCATCAGGCAGTGAGCCAACACCCCCGTTGGATCATCCGGAAACCCAGGGCCAAGGTCCCGACACATCCACTACCCTACAAGGGAATCGCCCACGTCGAACTCGTCGACTGCCATGACGCTTTAAAGCCTATGTGATGACTCTAAAGGACCTTTTAAGTTAATTTCAACAAGTGTATATAGGAATCAAAGGACATTAACCAGAACCAACCTCAGTGAATTTTTTTTTGTGTGTGGTGACAGACATTTCAGAAGACAACTACTTCGAGTGCTACTACATGTCCATGAACATTTTTTATGTGAAGTTTTCGCTTTTTATTTCCTGCAGCATGCAGTAAGCACTGTATAACTGGCTATTCGCCCAGTGTCATGCCTTAATTTTTGTTTCATTGCCAAATGTCTTGCCCAATTTTCATTTTTGCCCTAAGGTTTCAGCCTTGCTAGAGATGTCATGTGTTTACACTGCATTTTTTTTTCACGTCGCTTAGACACCATTGTCGTAATTGTCAAGCTATGCTTTGCATTTTCCATTTTGTCTCCATTGAACACTTTAACTGATACAGTCAGTTCAGCCTTTTCTTTTCCCAGTTGTGTTTCCTTTTTCTCAGACTATAGCTGCTTTTGTACAGACAGCCTTCCCGTTTTTTTTCCTAAGAGAGGGAAGGATAGGCATTTATTTTTTTTAAGGAAAGAAAAGTGTAGTATTTAAATTTTTCCATTTTAGTAATTGCCACACTAACCAGATGGCGCCACTGACCGCCACACCATATCGCTGTAGCCAGGCGGCGCTACACTTCATCCATTGGGCCGTGCGCCCAGGTGGATCTCCCCCGGGGCGGTTGGCCCCCGGGCTGTTTCCCTCTGAATAAAGTAGTGCGTGTTCTGACCTCGACCGATGTAGACGTCCCTTCCTTCCGGGTTGTTCCCGCCTCGGACCCGCCGGTGTTCGCCGCCCCACCTCGGCATGTGAGACAACCTCTTTCAGCAGGCCGCCTCGGCGCTGCTTCTTTTCCTTTCTTTTTTTTATTTATTGGGCTCTCCGAATCACAACATAGTCATCAACTTGTGCTTTTCTTTTGTGACAAGCCAGCATCATCAACATGTACAGCTGTAGAAGCAGGAGACGTAAGAATGTCCACAGATTATGGCAGCTGCAAGAAAGATGTCTAACCCAATTAGTTTTTTTTAATAGGGTGGCTAACAAAACCAACATATTCTGCTGAGAAAACGACAGTCGAAAAACAGTTAAAGCAGGTGGGGCATAAAATAAAGTTCTGTCTAGACAGCAACGTGTGTTGGCAGGCAGGTTTTTAGCAGGCACATTTTACTGCTGAGAGTAATGCCGCAAATGGGCCTATTTCAATTACACCAGTATTTTTGACGACAACCAAATCTGCAATTCCTTGTTAATATTAACAGCATCGCCCTTTCAACTAGGCCAATTTACCGGGATGTTCAGTACAGCTGAGGGCGTCGGTGCCTCAGTTGCAGCGTCACCACAGACGTGCATATACAGTTGCTCAAATGTAGCAATACCCTGTCGCCGTTAGGACCGCATGTAAGCGATTCAGCGAGCGACGGTGGGAACGACGAGAGTTAGCGACGAGCGACGGGGATTTCTTATTGTCGCTCGTCGGATGCCTCGGTTTTTTGTTTTAGAAAACGTTGCTGATCGCCTTGGTCGCTTGCTCCCGTCGCTCTCACGCGGCTTGCCTCGTCGCACGACTGACCGAGCGTCAGCGAAACGAGTCGCCGTCGCTTCTCTCGTCACTCGCCACATCATTTACATGTGATTTATACTAGAAATAAAACGACGTTCCATCGACACGTTACGTTTTATCGCTTTTTCGCGCGCGACATAAACTGGGGAGGGGGCATTCATGTCGCCGACATGTGCGGACTTCGGTGGCCCGATTCACTGAAGGGGCGGGGCATTCCCCCGATTATTAAGCCTAGTTTGCTTAATGCCGGAGCCACACTAGAGTGACAAACAGGAACAAAAGACACTGACAAACCTCAAACACATTTTTAATGTTTTTGTAGCTCGCAGATAGTGCATCGTGTCATACCCACTTCCAACAGTGGGTGCCACTGTCGCAAGCACACGAAAAGGAGACCAGAATGCATCGCGAAGTAACACTTTGTATTAATGTGTAATTCCGCGCTCGCCCTCCTTATTAGTTGCGGCAACCTGTAGCTTCCACAGCCCTGTACAGGACTTCTGACTAGGAGTGTAGAGGAGATAACAAGGGATCAGGACCATGCTTCGGTGAAACAGAGCTCGTTCCATCTGCCTGTCCTTCTCTCTTCCTTCGTGCTCTGTGCCCTGTTTTGTCACGTACGTGCACCAAATTTACACACCGCAAACAGGCACTAAAAAAAAACAAAAAAAACACGTACACTTCGCTGACTAACAATTCAAGTTTGTCTTTGTTTTCTTTGATCATCATCTTCTTTCTGTTAGACGAAACAAAGAAAATTATACGGTGGTAATTTAAGCATAGAAGTTAAGTCTAAAAGTCATTTGTCACA